GAGGGTTACCCCTGTGTGGAGAAGGTGGGGGTTGATTGTTGTTATGTCCCCCTACCTCTCGACTGAAGTCTGACATGTACGGAATTGTAATTGCGCCGTGAAGTTTGTCCAGACGGTTGCAGTCATGATGCCAAATGAGTGAGTGAGCGTGTGAGAGAGTAAACGGGTGGGCGAGCCCCCGCTTTAGAAGCTTGACATGACAAGATTTCGGATCACACGCCATAATGTAGTGTAGACTCTGGAAACATACAGGGAGGGAGTGAGTGAGTCAGTGGGTGAAAAATCTTCTAGATGGAAAGTACGAGCACCCACGTCATTGCGACCCTGAGGGTGTCTCAAGATGCAAGCAGGATGTTGATCTCCAAAAACCTCATAGCCTTGCTTAAAGGGGGTAGTAACCTTCCGCTTGAGTTTCAGTAATCTGTAAACTCCAAATACCCTACACCCTAAACCCTAAACCGCTAAGCCCTGAACTGCTTCAACTCAGGAACTTTGGTGGGGGAAGATCACAGCATCTAATTTGCATCCAGCCTGGAGTGTAGAGCTTAGGCGGGGCCATAGATCAATACCACGCGCCACACAACCCGCGGAAACTACAAAATCGCATGTGGGTTTTGTAGAAGCCTGAATGATAATCAGTAGTATTCCTTTTTAAAGCGTAAGATATATACCCCCAGAACCAAAACCTTACCAATTCTACTCTTTTAGAACTGCTATAAGTCCATAGTATAATGAGTGTACCCAGAACCCCTATTCCAATTAATGCATCCCCCTAACAATGGAATGAAAGTTCCGCTGGTAATATGATGGCATTACATGGAGAGTGTTTCCCATTAAGGGTTAGGGGTTTGGTTTTACAGAGAGGACTGGGCAAGAGATTACTTAACCTCCAACCCTACCAAGATCCCCCAAGGTTTCTCAACAAGTCCACTTTCCCCCGAACAGAACAGGACCTCCATGAACGCTTTTAAGGGAAGTTTGGAGGTCCTGTACGCCCTAAGCCCCAAACTGCTTCAACTCAGGAACTTTGGTGGGGGAAGATCACAGCATCTAATTTGCATCCAGCCTGGAGTGTAGAGCTTAGGCGGGGCCATAGATCAATACCACGCGCCACACAACCCGCGGAAACTACAAAATCGCATGTGGGTTTTGTAGAAGCCTGAATGATAATCAGTAGTATTCCTTTTTAAAGCGTAAGATATATACCCCCAGAACCAAAACCTTACCAATTCTACTCTTTTAGAACCGCTATAAGTCCATAGTATAATGAGTGTACCCAGAACCCCTATTCCAATTAATGCCTCCCCCTAACAATGGAATGAAAGTTCCGCTGGTAATATGATGGCATTACATGGAGAGTGTGTCCCATTAAGGGTTAGGGGTTTGGTTTTACAGAGAGGACTGGGCAAGAGATTACTTAACCTCCAACCCTACCAAGATCCCCCAAGGTTTCTCAACAAGTCCACTTTCCCCCGAACAGGACCTCCATGAACGCTTTTAAGGGAAGTTTGGAGGTCCTGTACGCCCTAAGCCCCAAACCCTTAACCCTAAATCCTGAAACCTAAACCCTGAACCCTAAATCCTAAACCCTAAATCCTAAACCCTAAATCCTGAACCCTAAACCCTAAGCTCTTTTCTTGAGTACCCTGGTCTCGGGCTTCACGGACCGAAGGGACACTTGGTTCCAGATGGGCTCTGCCTCTGCATCTCCGGATGAATGCGACAGGTTAAGGGTTTAGGCTTTAAGGTTTGGGTTTAGGGTTCAAGGATTTTCAGTTTGGGGTCTGAGGTTTGGGGTTTAGGGTTCAAGATTTTTGGGTTTGGGGCTAGGGTTTAGGGTTTGGAGTTTAGGGTTTAGGGTTTAGGCTATGCAGGGCTATAGATGGGGACAGAAGGGGATATGTGATATGTAGGATTTTAGGGTCTAGGATCTAGGGCTTCTAGGGTTGTAGGATGCGGCCATTGAACTTCTTGACGGGCGCAGCCGCAGGAATCATGGGCTACATATTGTCATGGGTTCCCGTTCTACCCCCTCCATACTGCCCCCCCCCAGGTTCCCGCTTCACTTACCTTAATTAAGCCTAATCATCCTTAAAGAACCTGGATTAAGGGGGGAACCTAGAAGGGGTTGTATAGAGGGGGTTAGTAGGGGAACCCCCGAGATCAAGCTTCACCCGCCTAGCGTTCATAATTTACACTGAGGGTCTAGCCTCCAGTTGGTTTGTATGGCGTGGGCTATGGGAGTGCGACCTTGACCTTCCTCAGCATGCCCGAAGACCCCATTAGCATGCCCAAAGGGTCCATGTAGGTATATGGTATATACTTCAGGCCCAAAGGCGTTCCCATATACCTACTTTAAGGCCCAAGTATATACATGGACCCTTTGGAATGTCTTTAAAAAATTGTGAGCGTACATGCTTTGTCTTGCGGAGCTGTACTCATGATCCTTGGAAAGCTCTACAGGGCCTTTGGCCCCCTCCCGCTCCAAGTATGCCAGAAATGGGTTTCTAGGTCCCACAAGGTGGTTTGGGACCTAATATCCCAATAGTTGGGTACTGGGAGCCTTAGCTTATTTGGCTTAAGATTGCAGACGTTGACACTACGTCAAGAGAATGACGAAGAGAAAATGGATGCCCGCGGGCTGTGTAGCGGCGGCTGCCACAGTTCCAGGTTGTACATATACATGCGTATATATATGGGCATCGCCTGCAAACCC